GGAAGGAAGAGTGGGAAAGGGGGGGGGGGGGGGGGGCTCTAGCAGCGAGGTTCCATTGAATAACAGTGCAGATACACATATGTACAGCTGACTCATGTAATCTGTTCCTGTATTAAAGGTGTTCATTGAGTTTGAACTGGTTTTGAAAGTGACATACTTGGCATCTTGTTTCTCAGTGTCTCTCAGACAAGAGCACAGCGTCTTTAGAGAACATCATATGTTTGAGAGTGATGAAAGGCTGCAAAGGAAAAGTTGTGCAGAAAGTCTCTATATGAAGATGGTTTGGGCGTGTTTTATGCAAATGACTAACCTTGGGCCTGTGGTCGTTGACTTAATATAATAATCCAAATTCATTAAAGCCACGTTCACACAGCAGCAGAATACGGTTGTCAGTCCTGTTTTTGAGTCCTTAATACGGTAACGTTCACACACAGTTGACAACCACATTCTGTAAACAAACTCACACCCGTAAATTTTCCAGGACTCACAACCACATTCTCGGAGCACACGTGCTGTGTGAACGGAACAGGACTTGACAACTAGTTGTCTGTCACATCATACAACACGAGAGAGAGCCGCTCTGACGCACAAACGCGTGTCTACGTGTTTTCACGTGCGTTTTTGGTAACTTACAGTGATGGAGAAATGAGCTGCGTGTCATCTGAACGTTGTAGAGCCCATCAGTTTTCCACCGGAGTCAGTTTTGTGTTCTGCACACGACTCAAATACTCCACTCTCCACCCAAATTTAAAAGCTGCTGTTAGTTTTATGCACGTCGCCATCTTTGATTTTACTTTGGTCACTGTCGCTATGGTTACTGGTAAGGAATACGGGCTTGACTCCCGTTGCACGTTCATACAGACAGTATTCTACACACAACTGTAAGCTGCTGTGTGAACAGGACATTTCGAGACTCACACCTGTAAAGAAAATGCGGTTGGCAATCCCAAAAATGGACAGTGTGAACGTAGCCTAACATTAGAACAAGGTTAAGAACAAATTCATGTGCATACACACACAAGCTGTGAATTAGGTGAACATTTTTAATGAGAAGTTCTTCTGTGTGTACAAATATGAAATAATCTGTGCAATAATTAGTAAATGAGAACCATCATTTGCTTTATTTCACAATTTAAGACACTGATTGTCCCAAGAGGGAGGTTTGTCAAAATCTGACCCCACCCCCCACCCCCCCATAACCATTTCTCTCTCTTTCCCACAGAGCACTTCCACAGAACACTTCAATGCCGTCATACCTGACACACAACAGTTTAGTCAATGAGCGAAAAGCCCCCAAAACAGCAAAATATCTTGTGCAAGAATTAGTGAAGCATGTTTTAATCCATACTGCTGTGCGTGCTGGTGCATAAACAAGGGGCATGGGCTCAAACAAAGAGATGCTTTTTCACTGCTCATTATTGAAACCATCACCCACTCGTCTCTAAGTCTTTACTGGAATAACACCCTCTGCAATCCAGCTCAGTCTCACACTCTACACTCACAAACAAAAAAAACACAGGATCCCGTTTAGTGCTGCTCCAGCTAGTTAATGGCTAAGTACACTTCAATTTGTAAAATAATGTTCTGCTAAACACAACCAATCCCCCCAACTAGTTAAAGTCATGAATATATCAATTTGTAGAGGGATAATGTTCAGTAATCACATTCTCACAACAAACTTAGTTCATCCATGCATAACAAAAAAGTCATGCTGGGTATGTTTTGTTTTAGAGGATACTGTAATGCTTTTGTTATATATTTGGATCAATTTGACAGCTGGCTCATTGTAGAGCTGCGATGGCTTTAATTAAATTAAATTAATTTATTTATTTCTAATTAAGATTTTTTTAAAGACTAATATCTATAATATTATTGGCATAAAAGTATAATTCTGACCACATTCACTTCACATTTCTGATACTTTTCAATATTTTTAATTATTAAACTAAAAACAAGCACAATTAGTTTTGTTCAAAAGGGGTCATTAAAAATGAAAAAGTCTCTTGTGCTCTCCAAGGCCATTTTTAAAAACAATAATACAGTAAAAACAGTAATAGTGTGATTAAATTATTACAGTTTTAAATAACTTTTATATTTTAATAAATACAAATTTATTTTATTTATTTATTACGCCAGTCTTCAGTGTTACATAATGCTTCAGAAACCATTCCAATATTCTACAGTCTATATAGTCTAATCATATTTGGTGCTCAAGAATAATTTCAAATTTATTATCAGTGTTGAAAATTGTTGTACTTTTTAATAATTTTCTGGAAACTGTGATACATTTTTTTCTGGATTCTTTGATGAAAAGAACAGCATTCATTTGAAACAATGTCTTGCTGAATAATAGTATTAATTTCTTATTAATTTCTTCTCGTACTCAGTCTTTTGAATGGTAGTGTAGCTCAGCTCACTTACTGTTTTGTATTTGACAATATACTCCAGGATGGGCATTCCTCCATCATCCTGCTTGACCAGACCCAGTCTGTATGCCTTCCCCACCCCTCGCTGACCCTGAACCGAAGGGGGACTGGGCTCTCCTGAATATTGAACAAAGACAAAATAATGTATGAATGGTCCACATCCATATTCATAACTGGTTACAAATTAACTCAATGGTTTGCAGCAACATACTACTGCAATAGTGTAACGGCTAAAGGTTGTTTTTGGCAACCTACAGCATTTAAGGGTCAAAGAAGAGGGCACTCACGTATAGGCAGAGTTTGAAAGCTCTCTGTGCGGCTGAACTCCCCTTGACCTTTTCCGTTCACCGCGGCTACTCTCACCTCGTAGGTCGTGTTGGGCTCAAGGTTAGTGAGCAACACGACTGCTGTAGAAAAAAAAGAGAGAATGATAAAGACAGAGAGAGATGTAAATGATTGTAACGGACATACTAAGTCCCAACTGGTCTCCTAAATCATGTACATGGTTTCAAATGATTGCTTTCTCCAGTCATGCTCTTGGCAAACAGGCCTTTTCTGGAATATGTAGTTCATGAGTCCTTGAAGCAGCCTTATCTAATATGATTATTGAATGTTTTCTTAAAGTTCCCGCAGACCCATCTTGGTGTTGTAAGTAAAGAAAAATCAATTTAAGCACTGTAAGTTCAAGTTGGACTGGAGTTGTATCTCCCACAGCTCTTCTCACTCTTCTAGTGTGGCCCTTGAAGCCAGTATGAACTGAAATTTTGGGCAACTCTTTTTGAAGTAATGTGTTTTGTGTGTGAATGTAGTGAGAATGAAGGATTCAAGTTGAATTCAAGCTGATAAAAATCAGCATAAAAGTATAATGAAAGTAATTTTTTGTGCTATGCTCCTGCCTAAGATCCGAAATGAACTACAAATGGCACTATTTGATTTGGGATATACAGTGGAGAAGAAACTTGTCACACATCCATGTGACCTCAGAACACCGAGTACGTTTACATGGACAACAATAATCCGATTTTAACACGATTAAGACAATACTCTGATTAAGAATCTACTATGTAAACAGAGATTTTGGCATTCGCATTATGGAAGTGCAGTATAGACATGTACACACCTTAATCATATTACTGTCGTGTAGAATTTTTCACAGCATTTTGTGACAGGATACACACGGCAGTGTTCAACCATTTGACGGCAAACAAAAGAGCATGGCTTCAACACCGCTGTCGTCTGTTTGCATGTATAGCATGAGAAATAATTAACTGCACTTGAAGCTTTCAGTAAATTCAAAATGAAACACCCAAAACTGTAAATGGCATCATAACGAACATGAACTATATGTTTATATGTGAAATTCTAGAGGGGACGTTGGATGGCGTCACTTGGTGACATAATGACGTGCCATTATAATCGATCTATGTACTATGACATGTAAAACGGGAACATGAAAGGAATATTCATAAAGCAAATTAAACACCTTAATCATAATATTGTCTTATTCAGAATAAGGTAAATAATTAGATTACTGATGTCCATGTAAACGTAGTCACTTAGAAGTTGTATGGACTACTTTTTTCATATATTTATGGTGTTTTCTTTCATTTTGTAGTTTGAGAGCCCAAATGTTCTTTTACTTTCATTATATGGAAGACAGTGGAAATTATACTCTTCAAAAATTAATCTTGGTAAAAATTAATATGGAAGAAAACAAGTCATATTTCATTTTTGGGTGAAATATTTCTTTATATTTCCATGAAAATAAGAAATCAAGACTATACATGTTTTTAAATACTTTAAGATATGTTTAAGTTATTAAAACATATTAAATATTTAGTAATCAACTGGTTTGAACACGTCAGCAACATTGATTTTGAGTGATTCCTTAATTTACTCTTCAAACAAGACTACCATTCAAAAGTTTTTGGTGGGTAAAATATCTATGTTTTTGAGTCTCTCATGCTCACCAAGGCTTCATTCACAAAAACAGTACAATTGTGAAATATTATTACAACTTAAAATAACTATTGTCTATTTGAATATTTAAAATATAATTTATTCTGTGACGGTAAATCTGAATATTCAGCAGCCATAACGCCAGTCTTCAGTGCCAATTGCTCCTTCAGAAATCATTTTAATATGCTGATTTGGTGTTAAAGAAACATTTCTTATTATAATCAATGTTAAAAACAATTGTGTTGCTTAATATTTTTGTGGAAACCATGATGGGATTTCAGGATCCAAATGTTTTTACAGGATTTCAGAAAGTTCAAAAGAACAGCATTTATTTTAAATAGAAATCTTTTGTACTGTCAGTTTTGATCAGTTTATTGCATCCTTGTGGAATACAAGTATTTATTTCTCTTTCAAGAAAAGAGAGCACTAATCAGCAGTAAGTGGAAACTACTGCTTTGTTTGGTGGTTTAACACAGGCATTGATAAAACCCAGCACTGGACAACCTTTGTACTTACTCTGCGTCCCCTGTGATTTCACATCCTTCCAGTCCTGTGAGCTGATGTCTTTGTATTTGACCAGGTAGTGACTGATGGGTACGCCGCCATGAGAGTCTGGCTTCGTGAAGGTAACGGTGGCCACGCGCTGTGCCACAGAGCTCAGCCGAACGGAGTAAGGGTTTGAGGGAACATCTGTGACAGAGAAATTATGGGTCAGGGGAAGAGAGACTAACAAACGACTCCATTTATGTGCAGAGGCCACAGTTTCTGAGAGTATCAAAGGATCTGGTTGTGTGTTTTTCTGTGGGGTTGAAAACACTGTTATAGAGATGCTTTCAGGGCCTTACAACCCAAGCTCTCTCAGCATGAGACTTTTCAGTCCACAAACACAGTCAGCTAGAAATGACTGCACTGTACTCCTGTCTTACCATCTTATAAAAAATAAATGTCAATGAAGGTTGAAAGTTAAGTAAAGAGAATAAAAAATCTAATGAAATCATAGAAGAGAATTAAGCCAAAACAGAACATGTTACAGTGGTTTAAACAGAACTAAAGGGCATTCTTACAGCTTAAAGGAACACTCCACTATTTTTTAAAAATAGTGGAACTGATGGAAAATGAAAAGTTGCGATTTTCTAGGGCGATATGGCTAGGAACTATACTCTCATTCCAGTGTAATAATCAAGGAACTTTGCTGCCGTACCATGGGTGCAGCAGGCGCAATGATATTACACAGCGCCTGAAAATAGTCCCCAGCTAGGTAACTTCCAAGGTGACCGGCACTAAGTTTGTGTAGTTGGTTATGTTGACGGAAGTTAGCCTATTTTCAGGCGCTGTGTAATATCATTGTGCCTGCTGCACCCATGGTACAGCAGCAAAGTTCCTTGATTATTATGAGAGTATAGTTCCTAGCCATATCGGCCTAGAAAATCGCAACTTTTCATTTTCTGTCAGTCTTACACAATGTAACTACAGAAGAATCAAGTTTTAAATAGGAAAAATATAGAAACTCTTTGGTCATTTTTGAGCGAGACGCTAACGGTCTAATCAGATTCAATGATCTATGCTAAGCTACAGCTAAAAGTGCTACCGCCAGACCAGGAGATCGGCTGAATGGATTAGAAAACGGTAAAACTCAACTGTTTGACTCTAGAGGAGTGGGAAAATTTGCCTATTTTCTAAAATATTGGAGTGTTCCTTTAAAATCCATGGTAAAATCATGGTAACACAGTGCCTGTTATGACACAGTGCCTATATGTTAAAATATAATAATCCCAATTAAATTAATAACACAGATATACACTTTATATATATTTTCCAGTCAGAATTTAAAATAATTTGCTCCATATGAAAAAAATCAAAGTAGGCCTAAACACTATTGCTAAGCGTTAAATACAGTTTAATTCAGAAACTGTCAATACAGCAGTATTTTGACTTCAATTTAATCGGTCCACCTCACAAGGCTTGAAAACCGCTTGAAACACTACAAAATGCTGAGAGTTCAAAGTTAACTCAATATGTAATCTTTTTTTTTTCATATTTTCAGCCGATTGTGTGAAACAAGCTTAAATCCATCCACATAATGGTTTTAAACAGGATAAAATGTGTAAAACGTAGAGCAATACACTATTACTGAGAGATGAAAACTTTATCAAACTAGCCAAAATCTGATAAACTAAAGCACTAAGTGCGTGGGATACATACAGTTTTATGAATGACATCTGTTTGAATTGTGTTTCTTCAGAAGTAGATTCAGTGCAGGCTTAATCATAACAGAAGCACCAAAATTAGCTCATAGTCATCAAGTAACACAAATCGTCATGTTGCCAATCTGATAAAAAAACATGTTGTACTCTGCCTGAAACTCTCATGCATGTCGTTTACAATAGGTGGCACGGAATAGTTTTATAATTCGTAGCCATTTTTCATGCTTGGTTTTCATGTTTTTTTCTTTTGCCTTGCCAAGCCACAATGCACAAACTGCTCTGAATAACAGCATCTGAGAGTGGGAGAGCTGAGACCGCCGGTGGAGAGAGAAATAGTAAAATAAAACAGGGAGAGGCAGCAGGAAGATAGAGAGAAACAAATTTGTGTGTGTAATAGAGGATCATGGAGAGGAAGTGCCAGTGAGAAAGACAGTAGGACAGAGTGAGACATATGGAAGACGACGCTAAGATGGACAGAAAATAGAAATTGTGCCACAAAATCTGATAAACTAAAGCACTAGGTGCGTGGGATACATACAGTTTTATGAATGACATCTGTTTGAATTGTGTTTCTTCAGAAGTAGATTCAGTGCAGGCTTAATCATAACAGAAGCACCAAAATTAGCTCATAGTCATCAAGTAACACAAATCGTCATGTTGCCAATCTGATAAAAAAAACATGTTGTACTCTGCCTGAAACTCTCATGCATGTCGTTTACAATAGGTGGCACGGAATAGTTTTATAATTCGTAGCCATTTTTCATGCTTGGTTTTCATGTTTTTTTCTTTTGCCTTGCCAAGCCACAATGCACAAACTGCTCTGAATAACAGCATCTGAGAGTGGGAGAGCTGAGACCGCCGGTGGAGAGAGAAATAGTAAAATAAAACAGGGAGAGGCAGCAGGAAGATAGAGAGAAACAAATTTGTGTGTGTAATAGAGGATCATGGAGAGGAAGTGCCAGTGAGAAAGACAGTAGGACAGAGTGAGACATATGGAAGACGACGCTAAGATGGACAGAAAATAGAAATTGTGCCACAGAATCCACTTCCACCTTTGCCTGTCTGCTAGTATGAGATATACAAGAGGATACAACTAAGACAAGAACATACACACATATACATGCGTTTTATTAAGTTGTACACTTCAAGACGTAAACAATATAGTGGACAACAATCCGTCAGAGTGATCTGCATTATATTTGAAGTCTACTGCCATAAGCTCTTAAAAGCTCGAGTAAAAACATTATTGCCAGCTGTTTGAAATCCAAGCATGTTTTCACCTGATGTTCAGCCTGATACAAAAGTCATTATTATCTGCCAAGGAGCTCTGTGAGGAGATTACATGCATGTGGACAGACGTTGACAAGAGCGGGACTGGTTGGGACTGTTAATGTACCTAAAGTCCGTTCAAGCCTTAAAGGTGAAGTGTGTAATTTCAGCGAAACACCAAGTGGAACTGAAATAATGATGGTTTGCTGAAAGTTCCTAACACTCCATTTGCCAATACTCAGGCAAACAGATAGTTCCGTCCCAAATTCATGCCATTGGTTGAACTGGAAATTGACATTTTAGTTTGGATGATCAGCATGTAAATAACACTACCTGGGCCCAAAAAGGCTGTTTTTCCATTGACGACCATTCAAAAGCAGTCATCTGTTCTATTTAATCAAATTTAAAACAATTTTTTGCAAGCAACATTCAAATCATAATTCATTTATTTTATTCCAGTGATCAATTTTTTGAGCTCTTAAAAGTGTTTGTCACTAGCTGGCATCTTCTACAGGTCGAGCAACTGCCATCAAGATGAATAGGAATACTAACGGTTAACTTTCTCAATAGTAAGTTTGGAATGACCTCTATTTTCAAATAATGGCAGATGCTAAAAGTATGGTGAGCATTTGAGGATTCTGTTTGAATCTGAAACTCTTTTTTCAATTTTGCTTAATTAAAGTCACAGAAATTACACACTTCACCTTTAAGACTTGAAAGGATCATAGTGACATCATAGTGAAATCTTAACTTGTGCCACAGTGTTGACAGTACTCTGGAGTTTCTACGAATGACCCATATTTTTGTCTCTACATGTTAAACTGGAATAAAAGAAAGTATGTTAACAAACACCTTTAAAACCTTCACCTTTGTCCCACAGCTATATACTGACAGATGCATTAATCATATGGATTAGTTGAACCTGTGGTAAACACTCACCTGCTTGTGCTAGGATGAACTCCTGAAAGCGCATCCCAATGTTGTTTCTGGCTGTACAGTTGTAACGGCCAAAATCTCTGTCTGACATCGGGGTAACCTGAGGACCAAGGTTGTGTTAGCGTGATCATGCATACATTTTTCTTGCTGCACGTGCTTGTCTTGTTACACATCTAATGTCAGTTATTGTTGTTATGTTGTTCATGTGTTCATTTGACACTAATCTTGGTTAGTAAACATAACTGCAGAGGACACATCTGTTTCCAGAGAAACCAAGTGTTGTTGAGTCTTGTCTAGTTCAGATGAGTTTACAAAAAAAGGGCAAATCTGCTTGTACCACTATAAATAATCTTCTCTGCCCAGTGTGATCTACATCACTGATATAGTATTATAGTTCTTGTTAATATTTTGAAATAAAGTTTATTTTTACATTTTAGTACAGTTAAACAGTACTTTAAACGAAAGGGAATACTTTAAAAAAAACGGGCTGAAATTGAATAAGCTCAAGTTTTTTTATATACTGTACAGATTTTATTTCAGTTAACGTTTATATCAAGTAACTGTTTTTTTATGGTTTTATTTTTATTTTTAGATTTAGTTATCGATAACAACCCTGCTCTGCTGACAATAATGAATTTCCACATCTGATTAGCTCACTACACCTGTACGTTTTAGCAAAAGATTTTCACAGATTTTGCATCAGAATCTAGTGCCAACCCAACCCAGCACCAAAACGGTTTATTGTACAAAAGTAAAAAAAAACAAAAAACAAAAAAAAACAAAGTGTAAACCAAAAGTTGACAAAACTTAAAGGTTCAAGGCAACCAGCTTTAGCAGATTTTTGAGTTTTCTCAACTTGTTTTTGTAGGAGATTTTTCAGTTTTCTCAACTTTTTATTGTATAAACTAAAACAAGATGTTGAGAAAACTCAAAAGTCTGCTGAAGCTGGTTGCCTTAAACTTTAAGTTTTCTCAACTTTAGATTTTTTACAGTGTGTCCTTAAACAAAAGTTTAGAATTATCATGATCAGCCACCTGTAACCTGTACATACTGTACAAAATGGTTTTATAATACCGCAGATACTTTTATTCATTTATATTTTTTATACAATAATATTTACTTATTTTAAATATTTAAATGTATCTTATTTAAATGGTATCTTTTCAGTATCTTTTATTCAGATTTTGTTTAGCTTTTTAAACAAATCTGAAGGCCGCATTGACAGCAGATTAATTAGAAAATCATTAAATTAAAATGAAAGTAAATTAAATAGATTAAAAAAAAATATAATAACTGAAACTGCATTTAATATTCCTATAAATATATTTATACATAATATTTTTACTGAAAATAATGTGGTGAACATCTTATGGTGGTGTACTGAAGTCTGTAATAAAATTAATAAATTAAATTCATTGCTGTTAAGACATTATTGCATTTTGTTTAGAAAAATATTTCCAATGATAAATAAATTTTTTTACAATTTTAATAATTAAAATGTAACAAACAGCAATGTAATAAATACATGTAATTTTAAAATGACTCCTAACTACTTGAATGCCACCAGTGGGCTAAGGCCTGGATATCATTAATGTCTAACTCTCCTGGCTCTCTTATCTAGATGAGCAAAGACGTAAAAATACAATAGGAATGAAAACATTTTTAAAAACTGGAAACAGCAGTGGGTGGATTACTGTACCTCGAGGAGAGATCTGCCAGGGGCACTGTGTACACGCATGTTTCCAGCACCCTCAGTAGGGATGGTCAACTTTTCCCGTCTCCACAGCATTGTGGCCGGAGGGTTAGACATAACATCACAGCTAATGTTGACTGGGTTCCCTTCCCACGAGAAAAATATAGTGTGGTTGGTCTGGAACTTTGGTGCATCTGTGAAAGAACAGTAAAGGTGTGCTCAGTAATGGCACGCCGAGTTCTTCTAAGAGTCATCCATCAAAAACTCATTCAAGATTAGCTGCCCGAAGTCTAAATTAAAATCTAGCATGTACCAGGCAGGTAGGAGCTTCCACATACGCGTTAACCAAACGCTTTATCATGGAGTTCTCTTTCACCCGGGTAAAATTAGCTCCTAATCAAACTGAAACTGAAGCATGGCCACTTCTAGCCGGTTGCCTCTAATTATTCAAAACAACCTGCAAAACCTCAAACCCCCTCTTCTCCCACAATGCAGTGGGTGGAGGAAGATTTCATTTGGCAGTATGTCAGAGAGATGCAATGAGGCAGAGGGTGTGGGACAGAGAGTACTGTGGTATTGGGAAATGCTGCATTATATGTGATTTCTCAGTCGTACACCCACCCACACACACACACACACACACACACACACACACATACAGTACACAGACACACAGAAACAGCACACACACAATCACACCCATTTTTTCCATTAAAGAGATTGATGCAGCCCACAGTGTCACATCGGTGACGGATTGAGACTGAATGAATGGGTATATTAGCAACCCTGCTAGATGGTCCGTTCCACTGCACCCCATAATGAGATATATATCTACCCTGCTGCTGCTACTGATTCTAAGGATACAGGATACAGAACTGTAATTTTAATTTTAATTTCGGGAAGAAGAATTTAAATTAAACACAATTGTAATTTTGTTGTTATTATTATTATTATTATTATTATACATATCATTTTGAGTATAGATCACCAATAAATATGTTAAATAAAAATAAAAATATATATTTTATACAATTTTAAAATGTTAAATATAGACAACAGTAAAATATTAAGTTAATTTAAATTAAATTATTTATATATATATATAGGGCCCTATGATTTCTGTGATGGAAAATTATTATTAAAGCATTATTTTTTAAAGGAATATTTACCAGAAAAATAATTTACCAGAATAATACTTTTTTTAAATTTATTATTTAGCAGAAAAATAAAACATTTCATAGGACCTTAACAATGTAATTTTTGTTAAACTTTTAAGAAATTGCTGTTTCCTGATTTCAAGACATTTCATGATTTTGATTAATTAGACATGCTTTTTGATGAATACAATTTAATTTAACCATTAAAACGGAGTAAAAAAAATGTAAATGGAAAAAACGGAAACCAGAAAAATTAAAACAGAAAAAAACGGAATTTGGAAAAAAAAATACAACAGATTTCATAGGGCCCTATTTAATATAATAATATTATAAAGAAGGGTACAACTCCACACTCACCTCCATGTTTAAAGTTTTGAAAACCTTTGTCAAGGTACAATTTCTTCAAAATGAAGAATGTCATATTTATAATTATAAAATTATCTGAAAAGAATGTGGTGGACATATTATGGTAGTGTGTTAAAATCTCAGCAAAACTGTAATACAATCTTAACAGTATTGGACGTTGTTTAGAAAAATAGTTCCAATTTTAAATAAATAACCAACTAACCTTTAAGTGAATAAATATGTGACCCTGGACCACAAAACCAGTCATAAGGCTACATTTTTTATTAAATAAATAAGCTTTTCATTGATGCATGGTTTGTTAGGATAGGACAATATTTTGCCGAGATACATCTATTTGAATATCTGGAATCTGAGGGTGCAAAAAATCTAAATATTGAGAAAATGGCCTATAATGTTCTCCAAATGAAATTCTTAGCAATGCATATTACTAATCAAAAATGAAGTTTTGATATATTTATGGTAGGAAATTTACAAAATATCTTTATTGAACATGATCTTTACTTAATATCCTAATGATTTTTGGCATAAAAGAAAAATCAACAATTTTGACCCATACAAATGTATTGTTGGCTATTGCTACAAATATACCCCAGCGACTTAAGACTGGTTTTGTGGTCCAAGGTCACATATGCTTAATTAGTTCAATTTAATGATAATTTTTTTATGAAATGCAGTTCTTGAATTTTCCCTTTCCTGACACTTAAATTCAAATCCCAATTCAGTTTACTGCAAAGTGTGACCAATTCAGACCACTCACACTCAATATCCAGGAACATGCTCTTCTGATGTCCACCGATCCTGCTGAGAGCCTCACAGTCAAAGCGTCCCCAGTCAGATAGCTTGACTCCAACAATAGTCAGCATGGATTCGCCATAACGGCCTCGCACCTCCACACGGCCGTCTGGACTCTGAAAAAAACATCACACGCTTCACATATTTGAAAAACAGATAAACCCGATAATCAGAGAGTCAAGGCTGTAGGATTAAGTATAAAATCGTGTAACAGCAAGATTTGGGGATTAAGGCACTCACAAGGACAGATCCAAACCACAGAGTTTTAGAGGATTCATGGGAGGGAAGGGTGCAGAGAGGCTTTTAACACACCTCAAGTGTTTCATCTGCTTTTCCCTCACATTTCTCATGGTAAATGAGTATAGAACCATTTCTAACTTCACACACACTGTTGTCCGATTTGTGGCTTTGGGAGTACAAATGTTCAACAGTGGTAATTCTGAAGTTAAACTCAAACGTAGTTCTTCCATAGGGACGCATATTCGTGTTAGTACTGCATCATGTCCTGATCCCATTACTCCCTCTAAATAAAGAACATAAAGCTATAAGACACAATTAAGGGATGTTATGAGAAAACCGGTGTTACATAAGAGGTGTTATATAGCCTATATGCCTGTATAAAATAGCGACAACAGTATTGTGATACAAGGCACCAACGCCGCCAAAGAATAGTAGATGTAGTATAGTTCATTAGCATAACCGTAGGTGATATTGTGCATACAGGCTCTGTGCCAAAGCAAGCAGCCTATCTATGCAGGATTTTAAGGCATGATAAATATGCTACCAAGGATGTTCCAAAAGGTGGGAAGCGTAATTATGCCGCCTTCAAAGATACCTTCTAGTAGACAAATTCTAAAGCAGCGAGAAAATGGCCTATAATGTTCTCCAAATGAAATTCTTAGCAATGCATATTACTAATCAAAAATGAAGTTTTGATATATTTATGGTAGGAAATTTACAAAATATCTTTATTGAACATGATCTTTACTTAATATCCTAATGATTTTTGGCATAAAAGAAAAATCAACAATTTTGACCCATACAAATGTATTGTTGGCTATTGCTACAAATATACCCCAGCGACTTAAGACTGGTTTTGTGGTCCAAGGTCACATATGCTTAATTAGTTCAATTTAATGATAATTTTTTTATGAAATGCAGTTCTTGAATTTTCCCTTTCCTGACACTTAAATTCAAATCCCAATTCAGTTTACTGCAAAGTGTGACCAATTCAGACCACTCACACTCAATATCCAGGAACATGCTCTTCTGATGTCCACCGATCCTGCTGAGAGCCTCACAGTCAAAGCGTCCCCAGTCAGATAGCTTGACTCCAACAATAGTCAGCATGGATTCGCCATAACGGCCTCGCACCTCCACACGGCCGTCTGGACTCTGAAAAAAACATCACACGCTTCACATATTTGAAAAACAGATAAACCCGATAATCAGAGAGTCAAGGCTGTAGGATTAAGTATAAAATCGTGTAACAGCAAGATTTGGGGATTAAGGCACTCACAAGGACAGATCCAAACCACAGAGTTTTAGAGGATTCATGGGAGGGAAGGGTGCAGAGAGGCTTTTAACACACCTCAAGTGTTTCATCTGCTTTTCCCTCACATTTCTCATGGTAAATGAGTATAGAACCATTTCTAACTTCACACACACTGTTGTCCGATTTGTGGCTTTGGGAGTACAAATGTTCAACAGTGGTAATTCTGAAGTTAAACTCAAACGTAGTTCTTCCATAGGGACGCATATTCGTGTTAGTACTGCATCATGTCCTGATCCCATTACTCCCTCTAAATAAAGAACATAAAGCTATAAGACACAATTAAGGGATGTTATGAGAAAACCGGTGTTACATAAGAGGTGTTATATAGCCTATATGCCTGTATAAAATAGCGACAACAGTATTGTGATACAAGGCACCAACGCCGCCAAAGAATAGTAGATGTAGTATAGTTCATTAGCATAACCGTAGGTGATATTGTGCATACAGGCTCTGTGCCAAAGCAAGCAGCCTATCTATGCAGGATTTTAAGGCATGATAAATATGCTACCAAGGATGTTCCAAAAGGTGGGAAGCGTAATTATGCCGCCTTCAAAGATACCTTCTAGTAGACAAATTCTAAAGCAGCATGAAATTGCAATCCCAAGCTAAGAGCATAGAAAATCAATCCAAGATGGTTTATGTTAAAAAGTTGTTGTTTTTTGAAAGTAAGAAAGAAATGAATGATTTTATTCAGCAGGGATTCAAATATTCAAATATGTTTCAAATAAATGCATTGTATTCATCAATCCTGAAAATAATGCACTGTGATTTTCACAAAGATATTAAGTAGCGCAACTACTGATAATAACAAATGATTTTCCTGAGCACCATTTTGGCATATCAGAAAGATTTCTGAAGCTTATGTGACATTAAAGACTGGAGTAATGGATGTTGAAAAATCAGCTCTGCCATTACAGGAATAAATAATTTCACAATATTAATATTTTTACTGTCTGTTTAATTAAATAAATGCAGCCTTGGTGAGTGTAAGAGACTTTTTTCATTAAAAAATTATTTTATTAGAAAAATCATTCCGAGCCCAAATGTTTGAAAGGTAGTAGTATTTTTATGCTTCGAGTATTGCAATGCTAGCTAAGCATCATGCTAAAGCCAACGTCTTCTAAAATGAACAGAAATGTCCCTTTGTGTGGAAACTGTTATGTAAAACACTAACCCTCCGTTTTACTACAGCTTCAAATACATCAGGCTTTTTTGAATCACTGGCAAAACAAATGTAAATCAATGAGAGGACAAGAAACAGCATATTCCCCAAAATAGGAATACACTGTCGTTCCCTAAAGAACTACAAACAGTCCGAGACCCCTACAAATGTGGATCTCAGACTGTTTAACCATCTTAAAAGCAAACAAGTCGAGGAGACATCACACAGATCTCTGTTTCGCAGACCACAACACTGCTCTGATGTAAATCAACTCTTCAGTTTTTCCCACTGTCCTCTGAAGCGTTCAGTGCATAATAAGCAGTAGAGGGATGTGTGGCGGTGTCAGTTTTGATTAGTGAGAGTGAGCAGTAGTGTGGTTAACGAGAGGCAGTGCATGATGACAGTTTTGAGGCCTGTCTTCCTGTCTCAACACCCCGCTCATCATCCGAGCTGACCAAAATTGCCCTCAGTCAGTCACTAATCTCCACGCTCACGCTGACACATGCATCACAGCAGCCAGAGCCATTTCCCTGCCGCTCCCTGCTGAAAGAAACAGGTCACACCAGCTTAAAGGGATAATTCATCCCCCAAAAATGAAAATTCTGTCGTTCCAAACCCGTATGACTTTCTTTCTTCTGTGGAACAAAAATACGAAATTTGGTACACTGACTTTCTATGCAATTACAACGAAAGGCTTTCAAGCTTCAAAAAAAGATGGAAAAGCATAATATAAAAGTATCATAAAAGCAACCCATTTGATTTGTACATCGTATTTCAAGTCTTTTGAAGCCATGCAATAGCTCTGTGTGAGAACAGAGAAATTTAAGTCAGTATTCACTGACACCAGATCAATAAGTCACGGGTTGAACTTAAAGACTGGGTGAGTTTGATTTGTGAGCAAATCATTCAGACCAATTCATTAAAAAGACCTGATTCAAATGAATGATTCTTTCATGAACCAGACACTACTTTTTTTTCATAAACTTGCCAAACTCACCATTTTATCATGAAAACACCATGGAGAAATGGCTAGATGCCAAGATTTCCAGTGAATAAATTAAATCTGAGTCTATTTGTCACCGTAATCTATCAAACTGTATCAGAAGACCAGTCATTTGCACTACTTTTGCAATACATTTATGGTGCTTTTTTCATCTGTCAACCTCACTCCTCATTTACTTTTATTATATTGAAAAGAGTATCCCCAGGATGTTCTTTAGAAATCTACCTTTTGTGATCGAACAAAAAAAATCAATTTTTAAGCAAACTATTTTTTTTAGACTGGAAAGCGGGTTTTTGGAACATGGTAGTTGTTTCTTGCTGGTTCAAAGCAGTCTGCCGCAAACAACAAAATAAGACCCACCACCGGATCAAGGATAGACTGGCCTTAGGCACCACCAGGGCTTTTTTTCAGTGGCCCAGTCAATAAAACAAATACATCTACATATTTATATAGCAAACACTACAGTTCGAACGTTTGGGGTCAGTAAGATGAAATGAAGAAAAATGAATACTTTTACTCCGCAAAGATACATATAAAAAAAAGTGACAGTAAAGACTTTTACATTGTTACAAAATTATTTCAAATAAATGCTGTTCTTTTGAACTTCCTATTCATGGCAGAATCCTGAAAAAAAAAAAACAGTTTCCACAAAAATGTTGAAAACTGGTTTCAATGTTGTAATAAGACATTGTAATAACATTGTAATAAGACATTGTAAACATTGTAATAACATAATAAAAAGAAATGAATCTTGAGCACCAAATCAGCATATTTCTGATTTCTGAAGGATCATGTGAAACTGAAGACTGTAGTAATGGCTGCTGAAAATTCAGCTTTGCTATCAGAGGAATAAATTTCACTTTAAAATACTTTAGAACAGAAAACAGTTATTTTAAATAATAACAGTACATTTGAGAATATTACTGTGTTTACTGTATTTTTGATCAAATAAATGCAGCCTTGGTGAGCATAAAAGATGTTTTCAGAAACATTAAAAAATCTCACTGACCCCAAACTTTTGAACAGTAGAGTATCTGTTGTAGGATATCAGACCGAATCAGACAATCTAAGATTTGGTCAAAACATGGTTGAAACATGAGGAGCCGAATTTCACAGAGGCCCAAGACATCAGGATGTTCATAAATCAGATCCTAGCATTAGCCAGTCTGAAGCAAGCCTAACCAACTCTTTCACAGAACAGCTTTCAACATTAACACAAAAGACTACGCCCAACCACTGGCTTCCCAAGACTGAACTTCCAGCCAATCAGCGACCGCGGGAAACCCCCTTTTCTGCAAGGAGGACAACAAAGGGAACCCCCGTACAGGCAACGCAACGCAAGTACCTCCAGATCCTAGCTGAACTGGTGCATTTAATATAAATTTTAACCTCATGTGGAACTTGGGATTCCACATTTTCATTCTCTTAAACTAATTATTTCCTCACTTTCTGTCTTTCTGCAACTTGTGTGAATGCGTGTGTTTATGTGTTAGATTAGTTATATGTCTTAGATTTATCCAATAAATCCTTATTTATATTGAAAAGAGAAGTATCTTGTGTTTTGTGCTCACAAGTTAATGTCTTAAACTGCCGATCTTGTTACTGTGCTAATTAATAGTGTTTTCACTATATTTTGGATATAAATATCCATTGCAGAGTTGATGTTATACGGCTCGTTCAATGAATCGCTGGCCGTCTCAGTGATCAGCCGTAAAACAGTGATTCTGTCTTAATAAAATCTTAAATGATTCCATTTGAGCTAAATTGACCTGTTTCCCTTACACTGTAAATATACAAAGTTTTAAAGGAAGACATTATTGCACATTCATTTTTATAGATCAGTCCTGCAGTCAACCTAAACCAGCTCAGATCTTGGACCAGAAATAAATCTCATAAAAAAACACATTAAACTGGTTTTAGCTAAATTTTTTATACACAAAATGTTTAATTTGTTTTTTCTGCATGAAGACATCAAGTGAGTCACATTATTCTAGGCTTTTAATTGGCCCCCACAGACTGTGCTAAAGCGCCAAATGTCAAATCTCTCTCTGCACAGCTCTACCATTCAATTCGTTCCTAGCAGTGAATGGTGTCCATTTTGAACTCTTACTTTAACCGTTCAGAGTAAAACGGAGGGGAGGGAAGAGGCTCCCAGATCAATTGTTTGCAACTTTTGAATTCAGAGCACAGGTTCAGTCCCGGCCCCCGTGTAATTGTAGCAGACTAACTCCCCTACCTTACCTCCACATCCCCACACCTCTGAAAGAGCAGCTTAAATCAAACTCATTTTGTTCATATTGAGTGGCGGCAAGCGTCGCTGCTCTCCTACACCTCTTTGTATGAATTCTCTTTCATTTCCCAGCCATGCAGGCTATTCTAATCACTATCCGAGCAGCTCTCGCTAGATTAACTGTGATGGGGAGTCTTTTCACAGTTCCTCCCTGGAGTCAGGCTCCGTTTGCCTCTATTGTTGATGCCAACAACCCACCTTTCACAGAATTCTAATGATCTTTGACAGTTTCTGTTCCCATCATCTTTCCCGCCTGGCCGCTGCAATCGCATTTGCCATTCTGCAGGCCGCATTCACATTCAGCACAGACACGGAGCATGCCGGTAGGAAATGCAGAGCATTAGTGGAGCACAGAAAGCCTTCGTCAGCCTTCAACCGGTACACAGACTGAGCGTGCCTCTGGGCTGTGTCTCTGCGTACTAGTCTATTATATCCTCTAATGTCCATGACTATTACAGTGAGCATGAGCAAAGACCGAACGTCACACATATCTGGCAGTTAATGTGCTGGTAAATTGCTGCACTGTTTAGTGACTGAGAGGAAATGGTGGTTGAAATAACCTGCAAATACAATACATTGTGGAAAATATTTTTTTGAAGTTGTAAATCTAACAAAGATTATTGGAGTACATGACAATTAAGTACTATTTTAGTCTTTCTACTTCTTAATTTCATGTTTAATTCAGTGGGATTTTTTTCCCCAGTGTTCTTTAAAGTAGTTTATGGTACACTCTAAAAAATACAGATGATGTTCGTAACATTAAAAAAAGAAATGTCTTGTTGCTGTCCCAAATTTATTACAACATCACGTTAACTCTCATCACATAAAGACAACAGACTGCCATTCAAAAGTTTAGTGCCAGTACAATTACAACAAAACAAAACAAAAACAAAAACAAAAAAACAACAACATTTTTTGGCATGGATGCATCAAATTGATTAAAAGTGTCAGTAAAGACACTGAAAAGGTTACAAATTTTTTTTTTTTTAAATAAAAGCTGTCCTTTTGAACTTTCTATTCAACAAATAATCCTGAAAAAGGTGCATCATAGTTTTCAAGATTTATTACATTAAGAAATCAGAATATTAGAATGATTTTTGAAGGATCCGGAGGAATGGCTGCTGAAAATTCAGCTTTGCCTTTACATTAAAATATCTTTAAAAAATAGTTATTTTAAATAATTAAAAATATTTAATATTATATTATATTATATTATATTATATATTATTTAATATAATATTCCACAACATTATCAAATAAATGCAGCCTTTGTGGGCATAATAACCTTTTTAAAAAAACAACACATAAACATTAACGCATCTTATCGTGCCAACATTTTTGCACAGATTTAAAAAAAAAAACACTATTTATTCTAAGAATAATATTATACCTGATCTCCATCTGAAAAGCTGTGTCCATCACTTGCTCTCCTCCATGAGATTTCAGGCAAAGGTTCACCTTCAGCCTTGCAGGAGATCATAGCAGCGCTGCCTTCCACCGCCGTCACATTCCTTAACTTAGTAATGTGGGGCTGGACTGCAAGAAAGGGGCAACAGAGGAATGTGACAAAGACAAAAGAGAAAGACACAGAACTGGAAAAAACACTCAAGCTTAGATTACAATAGTCATATGATATCCGTCACTGACTGCCTTTACACACAGCAGAATGCAAAATCTGCGATGTAAGCATCTTTTCATTTCAGAATAAAAATGCAGAATGTGTCTCTATGAGTGTCATCTATAGAATATATATACTGTACATACAAAAAAATATTTTTTTCCTCTGGACACTGAAATATATTCTACTACTACTCAATAAATATTTCTCTTTGAGAGTACATACAGTATTGCACTTGGGTAACGATTCAGTAAATATCAAACTGAACTTTGTGTCAACAACATCATTCTGGTCTGACAATCAAAAATCTTTCATTTTTGGCACCCAGCTGGAAGAGAAAACAACAGAATATTGCAGAAAGGTCAGCATTTTGCTGTCTGAGGTTCAGAAAAAGACACAGCACATTGACAAGCACAACACATCCGTTGCTATCTGAATCTAACAGGCTCCCACTGGTAAATAAACATTAGTAAACTAATTTTTTTCCTCTGGACACTGAAATATATTCTACTACTACTCAATAAATATTTCTCTTTGAGAGTACATACAGTATTGCACTTGGGTAACGATTCAGTAAATATCAAACTGAACTGTGTCAACAACATCATTCTGGTCTGACAATCAAAAATCTTTCATTTTTGGCACCCAGCTGGAAGAGAAAACAACAGAATATTGCAGAAAGGTCAGCATTTTGCTGTCTGAGGTTCAGAAAAAGACACAGCACATTGACAAGCACAACACATCCGTTGCTATCTGAATCTAACAGGCTCCCACTGGTAAATAAACATTAGTAAACTGCAGGGGTTGTGTGGCATAGGAACACTTAAGATTCTCATCATAAATCTATGATAAGGCTTGTCTTGTGTAGCAATGCTCATTAGTAGGGTAACTGATGTACAACAGCGGCAGCCTTCAAGCAAAGAGGTGACACCATCGCAGCGTTTAACCTGATAAATAAACATCAAAAAATGCTTTCCCGCAGGGTGCACAATAATAGCAGATAAATAAAAGAGAACAGCAGAACAGTGAGAAAAAATCTTATCAGCATAATCTCTTTCTCTTCCTATGTTGACATTAGGGATTAAATCAACTATCAATTAATCTAAGAAATGAGCATAATCCTAATGATAAAGACTGATTTGCATTTAGATGTTCTTCAGGAACTACATGTTCATATCCATGCAAACAGATGCCAAAATCCACTTTTTAACAACTTTTTAAAACATATTTGTCAATAGACAGCAAATGCAATGTCAAAGAGTTTCAATTCACACTTTGAACAATAATCATCATTTAAGAAGACTACTAAAATACCGCAGGGAAAAACCCACAAACATATCAGTAGACAGCAACAGTGCTGAGATAAAGCGTGATGAGGCAATCCGGGATGCCATTCATTGAAGCCAAAAACTAGTTTTATGAGCATGCAGGAAACGCAGAAGAAGCGTGCCTAGCTGAGTGGAAACCCTAGCAGCCCTCGCTCGGTTAGCTGTCAGGGGTCATAAAGGAAAGTTACGACTCGGATTCCCAATATAATTTGCAAAACAAAACTCTCATCCAATAACGGAGGCTCATTTAAATGAGTTGCTTTGAAGAATACCCTTTGCTTGCACATGGAAAGGATTCTGATGACTACAGAATAAATCTCCATACATTTACATGAGCAGACAAGGTGCTATCTGAATAATCGGTGAAAATGTTGGCAGCTTCATGACAATTGAAATCAAAATTCCTTGCCATAAAGAATATGTCACCCATTCTCATGCAATTTAGGCCATCTGTTTATGGAAGAAAAGCATGTCGCATGTCGCATGGCCGAACTGGAAAAGTGAAGCACAGGGATGTAGCTGTCAATCACCTTTCAACAACATCAGGGTTCCTGCTGTTGCACTAGCCTTAAGGAAGATGGAAAGTTTTTTTCCCCCTCAGGAACCACGGATGCTGACAATTATACGATTTACTTCATTCAACTATAGCCTAAACTAGTGTTCAGAAAGACACGCAAATGGGGCATCACTGGCATGTAAGCAATAAGATCAAGATATATTAATATAAAAGGTTGATTTAGATTTACTAAATGTTAATTCTGTAATAATATACATGAAATGTATTTTAAATGTAGACTACAGGGGGTTCAGGGGGTCAGTATTTTATTTTATTTATTTTAGAAATTAATACTAAGATACATTAAATTGATAAAACACTTTCTATTCATTAAAAAAAAAGTTACAAAAATTAAAATTTTTGTTTTATTTTTAATTTATTACTTTTAGAACTGTGCCTATCACCCCATGTTCACTCTGCATGTATGTGTATATTTTAACACAAAAAGTTCAGGGGGTCAGTATTTTATTTTATTTATTTTAGAAATTAATACTAAGATACATTAAATTGATAAAACACTTTCTATTCATTAAAAAAAATTTTGTTTTATTTTTAATTTATTACTTTTAGAACTGTGCCTATCACCCCATGTTCACTCTGCATGTATGTGTATATTTTAACACAAAAAAATATACCCCCCCCCCAGCAATTTCAGAATGTAAACACATGAGCTAACGAGTTGATTTTTCATACTTAGGGTTTTGCTGCACATGTAAACATACTCAATGACCCACAACTACAATTATCACCACATGACAAAACTCAAAGGGAACAATAACACAATAGCACCAGTGCAAAATATGCAGTGAAATGGTAAACAATGCGGTTCTATTTAACATGATTTATTCATGCCCTTGTACATGTTGGTCACGTTACATCACAACAACAACTTCTGGGAGATGTGCCACAGTAATGAGCAAAAAATAAATAAATAAAATAAATAAAAGGAAAAGAGGAGAAAAATTAGAACCTAATCCTGACAAATTCTGGCCTTTCCCTCTCATTATATACTAGTCTGTTGCTTGAGATGATTCATTTTCAAATTATGTTAAGGTTTTAGGTCTTTCAAAATTTGAACAATAATTTCACAGGACAACAAGCGCGCTTAATTTGACAGGTAACATCCTATTTAGTGGATGAAGAGTTATGTAAGCCAATAAAAAAAAGGTGTTCTCACCAAAAACCTTGAGAAACAGTTCATGCTCAACTTCTCCTGCCTTGTTAGAGGCTTTGCAGGTGTAGGAGCCCCCATCGTCCTGTTGAATGTTTCGAACTGTGAGCGTCGTACCTCGAGCTCTCATTACATACCGCTCCGATTCCTGGAGCTGCACTCCCTTCCTGACAAAGCACACATATACAACATGTGTCAGTTGAACAAAGCCTAAATTCCCAAACACTGTGGTATTATTCATATCGCAAGAAGAAAATCTCCCTGACCAGCCAATCAAAAATGTTATACATAATGCAAATTTAGGAAGCAAAGAAATGCCAGGTGATGGGTTGTTCATCATACATGGAGATATATTCTGGAACATTCAATATACATACCATCTAGGCATGCCGTCGAGGTGGAGACAGAATAATGAAACATTTTTGGAGAAGATTACAGCGCAGCTTCAGACTGTCATAATGTTAGGAGAGGAATGAACGGAAATGAAATCTATTTAAAGCAGAGAGACCTGTGTGAATACAGGAAATGGGGAGAAGGGAATCAAATCATGCTTTCTCTGGCTATACAGACAGAGTCAACAGAGAGACACAAACAGACGGATGCTCCATTCCAGTCGCTGCTTACAACAAAATTGTTGAAACTGAGCAGATGTTTCTCAGCCAGAGGACATTACAATGCACTAATTGTAGTGACACTAATTGTACACAAGTCTCACTGGTGCAAGCAAGTGCAGGACTCAAGGGCACAATGCTAATAAAGCAGGCTTGTGATTGTAGTAACTTTCCAGTCTCCTGGTTGTCCCTTATTGGAATTAACTCTATTATCAGGGGTGCACACGTTTTTCAGTCTGGTTCTCATGAGGGCACATGGATATTTGGTTTGGTGCTCACACTGCACATAGTGTGACTCATTATGTAACTATAAAAATAAAATAATTAATAATATTGATAATGATATTATTGCACTTAATTTATTTTGTATTTTTATATAAAATAAACAAACTAATAAATAGAGTGTGATGATACTATTATATTTAAAAATAAAAAGTGAGTATTAAATAAAAATACAATTATTTTATAGTACACTTAAAAATACACTTTCATTTTTCCTTTATTTTATTTGAAAAAAAAAAAAACATTTTCAAACCTAAAATTTCAAACATTAAAAAGGGTTAAATGTATGTGTGACTAGTTAATTTACATAAATATTCATGTAGTGTAACAAATATTCAATATAGTGTGGTATACGGAATATGTTATTTGATTTCCAGGTAAATTAAAAAAAGCTTGTGAATGAAGGCCTGCAACGTTGCTCACTGTTAAAAAACTTGGTCAGTTAGGAAACATTAAGTACATTTAGATCTTTAACTCTATAATCACATACATTTATTTATATAATATAGTGTGGTATACGGAATATGTTATTTGATTTCCAGGTAAATTAAAAAAAGCTTGTGAATGAAGGCCTGCAACATTGCTCACTGTTAAAAAACTTGGTCAGTTAGGAAACATTAAGTACATTTAGATCTTTAACTCTATAATCACATACATTTATTTATAGCATTATTTTTTATTTATTATTATTATTATTTTGACCAGAATAGACTTTACTTCCTCCACAGTCCTTTTTTTGGCACCAGCACACATGCAAAATGTAATGAAACTATCAGGTTTTAGCAGACGCAATCTAATTAGTGGTGCTTTTGTCATGTCGCAGTGTATCAGTGAGTGGTTTGGTTAGGCTCATTTATTAAAGGTCAACGTGTGAGAAGACTCGGCAGGGATCGCTTTCATCTCGCTCATTCTCATCCGAGCCAGAGGTAATTGCAATGATTGAGAGCCTGTAATCAACGCATTGGGCTGCTGTCACTCAAAGCCCACACATTAAGGATGGAATAAATATGTCCATTCCCAGTCATCACAGCTCTTTCTTGGCTGCGTTACCTCGATCCTGTTCCCCAGTTCCTGCTCCTCCAGTTTATGCGTGACACCTTAACTCATCAAAACTCTTGATTTCCAAGGGGAAAAATCTTTCTTCTTGTATTTTTTTTTTCATGAAAATCAGAAGGTGTGGTTAAATAATTATATAAAGTTTTCAAAATGTTTTAGGGATGAAAACCAACACTTTTTATATTACTATTATTTAATTAAAAAAAATACATATAAAATTCAATAATGGATGACCTCAAACAAACTTCCACTAACAATCTCACAAAATAATATATATATATATTTTTAAGAGTTCATATTCATGAAAAAATGACTTTTCTTTGTAAATGACTGTTTACAGCTGAAAGTATATGCGTGTGTGTCTATTAAAGCTCCATATGTGAACTCCAAGGTCAGGCAGATAGCGATTTTCATTGGCACGGTCTATTACGGGAATGTGCAATGATTTGAGTGAGAATTTTTATATTTCCATTTCTGATGTAGCGTCTCGACCAATCTGACACACTAATTTTTATTCGATTTAACAAATCAATTATTCATTAGATTAACAAATCGTCACAGTCCCCTCATTCAATAGACTGGATGCCAGGGCTTCGCTTGAACACCATACTGTTTACAGCTGAAAGTATATGCGTGTGTGTCTATTAAAGCTCCATATGTGAACTCCAAGGTCAGGCAGATAGCGATTTTCATTGGCACGGTCTATTACGGGAATGTGCAATGATTTGAGTGAGAATTTTTATATTTCCATTTCTGCAGAGAATTGGAAGGTGATAAAGTAATTTCAGACTGAACCTAACCCAATTTCGACTCATTCAGAAATTATTCCGCCATGCCCTTCAGAATGAGGTAATTCACCTGAGATGGAACGACGTTCAAATAGTTTCAATAATAGGCAGCAATGTTCTTCTGCAAACATCCTACACTGATTTTTAAATACAGCATTTTTGTTCCCTTTTGCAATTTTCAGGTTTAGGGAATGGATGGAGCCATCCTGTCTGAAAAAAAGGCATCATTTTGAGTTGTTGAGACTGGTTTAAAGACATAACACAATTTAATGGAGTGTGCGCCGGGGTAAAAAGATTAGATTAAATGGATGTTTTATTCATGGTCACTTTCAGCCTGACTTGGCAGTATATTAACACATCCCTCTCATCCTCTATTAGAAATCATAAACGCACACACTATTTGCTTTTCCCTCTGCACATTATGGGTCATTCATTAGGTAAACCCAAACTGCTGACAGCCAAGTTCAAATTAATGCCACGATAGTTTTGCCATTTGCCATTTGTCTTCAGAGCATCAATGGCGTGCATTACTCCTACAAGGGTGCTTTAAAGCACAAATAAGTGTTTTTTTTGTTGATGAAATGACAGCTGCGGAGGTGATGGGGACCATCATCATTACGGCTGGGGTTCAATCTCACACCAGAGCAGCTCAGCAAGCTTTGTCCACTCTCCAGGGTTAAATAGTTCTAACCTCGGAGGCAGTCCTACAATTGAACTGCTGGTGATGAGGATGTCTGTGTGAATGGACAGCTCAAAGATCACACCCAGGGCACTGCAGATTTGTCGGTTTTTATCTTTCCTCTGAATTTGATCATACAAATGCACTTTTTTCCATACTTAAAGGGATAGCTAACTCATCATCATGCCGTTCCAAACCTTTATGACTTTTGTCTTCTGTAAAACACGAAAGGAAACATTTAGAAGACTCTTAAAATCAGAGTAAAAACGGACCCATATGACTTGACAACCATATATGGCAACTATATAAGTCTTCTGAAGTCAAACGATAGCTTTATTTGAGAAAGAAATTGAAGTCAAAATTAAACATTGCTCAATATCTCAATGCGCCAAAGACAGCAATGGTGACCGACTCATTCATGAATCAAGAATGATTTGCAGATAAATTATTCTTTTGAATTTTTAACAGAGAATGCACAAAAACAATTGAGACTGATACGGTTCTTGAGTTCAACTCACTGAGTTAATTCCGTCACAGCTTCACCCACTGAAGATAAAGCTCATCAGTGAATAACAACTTCTATTTGGTCTTTTTGTCACAATCTCCAGCTGGAGTGCCCATGAGCTCCTCTAGAGGGCACTCTATTCTCTACCTTGTCATTCACTCAGGACTCCATTTCCCATAATCATTTGCCCGGACTCATCAAGTGCATCACCTGTATCTCATCATCAGTTCATAGCTGTCTCACATTAGTAGGACTATAAGAATAGCACACACACTCTCTGTCTTCGCAGGTGATTGAATGTTTAGCCCTTCCGTGTTTCCTAGTTTCGCCTTTCTAGTGTTTTGATCCTTGGACTGTTACCTTGCTTTTTATTGACTGCTGCCTGCCCTGACCATTGCCTGTCTTGCTGGATTACTCTTTTGCCTGTGCCTTGGGTGCGATTGTTTGCTGGTTTCTTACCCTGCCTGTCCTGCCTACGCTCTTTTAATAAAGCCTGCAATTGGATCCCCACTTCATCGTCATGACTCCCTTTGTTACACTTTTTTACCCACAATTCTATTTTATCACTTCATATGATTTGGAATAAATATATACAACTTTTAAAGGGGTCATATGATGCTATTTTAAAGGTCATTATTTTGTGTATTTGGTGTAACAGAATATGTTGACATGCTTTAATGTTCAAAAAACACATTATTTTTCAAATACTGTACATTATTGTAGGTCCTCTATGCCCCGCCTCTCTCAAACACGTCGTTTTCAACAAAGCCCCCTCCTTTGACAAGCGCAGTCTGCTCTGATTGGCCAGCTGACCCAGTGCATTGTGATTGGCCGAACATCACAAGCACGCGTCGGAAATGTTATGCCCCTTACCATAATCGCTTCAGCTTTCAAAGTAAATATCAAGACAGTTAATAATGTTGTTAGTTTTACCATCAGTTCAAGCCCGAAATGGCAACAGAGTTGCGTGACAGACACAGTGATGATGCAGTACACAAGCCCTTGCAGTGATCAAGGTCTCAAATCCTTTACAATAATAATACTTTAAACATTCATCCATTCCTTTTTTTCCCCCCGACAATCTTTTCCCATTTCTCAAATCAGCTCCAGAGCAGCTTGAGCTCTACAATAATTTTCAACAATTAAAGTAACAATACGTATTTATCTCATCTATTTAGCAGCAAAGATGTGCTTTACAATGTAGGTGATAGGCAGATTACTTACTCTCAGTATCTTCAATGATCTCCACATTGTTGTAAAACCAGGAGACCACAGGAACAGGGGAGCTGGTGACATCACAGACCACTTCAGCCACGTCACCCTGTCGAAACTCCTGAGGAGACCTCACATCTCTGAACGTCAGCTTCTCTGTGGATCAGGGAGGAGAAAAATGTTGTGAAATGCTACTAATGTACATTAGCATTCAAAAGTTTGGGATCAGTAAGACATTTCTGAAATAAATTAATACCTCTATTTAGCGAGGATTATTAAATCGATCAAGTTACAGTAAAGACACTTATATCGCAACTAAAGATTTCTATTTCAAATTAATGCTGTTCTTTAGAACTTTCTTTTCATCAAAGAATCCTGAAAAAATGCATCACAGTTTCCACAAAAGCAGCACAACTGTTTTCAACATTGATCATAATAATAAATGTTTCTTGAGCCCCAAGTCTGCAATATTTCACAATAGTAGTTTTTGAAATAGCATAAAAGCATAAGAGACTTTAAAAAAAGCAAAAGTATTACTATACTATCTCTTCGAAGTTGTAAATAACAGATTACTGGAGTATGTTTTACAAGAAAATACTATTTAAATTTTTCAAAGTTTCAAGGTTAATTCATTATGTTACTTGCCATTTTTTGTAATTGTCTGTCAAATTTATTACACATTTCTGAGCAAAAATGGTTTCTACACTATTGTTTTTTTCTGTGAACATTAGGGCTGGGTAAAAAATATAGATCTCTCGATTTTAATCGATTCTCATTTTAAGAAACGATATCGATTCTTAAATCCTAAGAATCAATTGGTCTAGCCTGTTTTTAGTTAATGGACGGAACATTGAAGGGCACTTCCCATCCAATAAATCGCAATAAGCATTGTGCTTTGGTACTTTTAATATGAAACAAAGTCTCAGATTTCAAATGTCCATTGTATTGCAGTATTCAAACAATAAATGCCATTTTGGAGTGACAGATCGCTGTAGTGCCTCAGATCAACAGACGCAGCAGCGCTAGACGCAACTGAACTAGTCATCTCCTTCACATTAATACCAGTTTCAGCACAAAATAAACATGACTAAAAGGCAAGTTAAAAGAAAGAGTATAACTTTACAAGCCATATCCTGTCTCATGTAATCGCTCAATCAGTGTTTCAGCCTCGCAAAACGTCAATATAACAGCTTGTAAACAATTCATGTAACATGCATTACATTTACCTCAGAAAGCATATTCAGTGACCATAAACTCGATAGTCAGCCAGAAAAATAAACTGTAGAGAGGAACATTTTGCTAAATATATGCACCATATAACATTCATTACAATTTTTTACCGTTCTTTAATATTTTATTTGTTTTTATGACAGCCACTATTTAAATGTGTATATTTATCCAAAATAATCTGAATCTAATCGAATCAAAAGCTTGTGAATGAGAATCGAATCGAGAAATTTGTTTCAAAACCCAGCCCTAGTGAACATACTCTGACACAATGCCATGGTACTTATGTAGGAGATTTCAGGTGTGGGTGACTTCAAATCTTCCTTGTGTTGGGAAGGTTACTTTGGAAATGTCATAGGTTACAGATTACAAGTTACCCAATGTAATAAGTAGTGTAACTATTTTAATTACTTTATTAAAGTAATGTAACTGATTACATTGGATTACTTTTCTAAAATTCTAGTGAATGTTTTTAACTGTTAATCATTTACAAACATTTAAACCAGGCAGGGTGATCCTTACAGACTTACAGTATTGCTCACCATTTCTGTAACACAACATTACTGTCAGACTTTCAAAATCATCATCACTTGAATTAAGATTATAATAATTACATTTTAAAGCACAGCCACCAAAAAAAAATCAGATTTTTTTACTTTCAGATCATTCTGAGGTTAAATACAGATTTAAAATAACAACAAGAAATTGTTTTTGAAATTAAATCTTTGCATAGCTATGACAGGAAATACTGGCATCTAACAATGCCTTGGAATTTTTTTTCTCCATAACAATAATAGATTAGTTACATTTATTTTGTAAGTAAATTATGTAACACCATTACATATCATAAAATACCCAAAATGAAAACAAGACAAACCAACATGTCTGATTAAGTTGCATGCTGTTAATTGTAATGGATGGGGCTGTATGTTGGGTGGAATTTGTACGGATTTAATTTGTAACACTTGAAATCCAAGCGGTATGAAGATAAAACAAAAAACACATGAGGGCTTTGGAGAACTAGTTCAGACCCCCCAGTGCGGAAACCAAAGAAAAATCAACGAAAAACAAGGGACATGTCAACACCTACGTCTGCTTGTCATAAATCAGGTGTGCTTCCACATAGTCTCTGATTATTCACAATTCACAGCCACATTCTGACACACCAAAACCACATTTTGTTTGTGTGGGAAGCTGCTGTAAACATCTGCTACACCGCAGTATAAGAAAATGTGTCTTCAGAGGACTGAAAGATGCAGCACACCCTCATCAGCACAGCGGCTCTGCGTATTGATCTGTGAGTAATGTCTGTTTACACATGGCTCCCACTGCTCTAAATACAACTTCTAATGGAACATAGGCAAATGCCAAGCTTGGAACAAAGTCAGCCACAGAGAAGAATGTGAAATATCTCCTGAAATTTAGCAAGGTCTACTAATTAAACTCACTGAGGATTAAAATGACATTCTCATTCACTTAAAAAAAGAAAGACTGTAGCGCCTCAGGTCAACAGACGCAGGAGCGCTAGGCGCACGTGAACTAGTCATCTCCTCCACATTAATACCAGTTTCAGCACAAAATAAACATGACTAAACACCCGAAGGCAAGTTAAAAGAAAGAGTATAACTTTACAAGCCATATCCTGTCTCATGTAATCGCTCAATCAGTGTTTCAGCCTCGCAAAGACATCAATATAACAGCTTGTAAACAATTCATGTAAACTGTTTACAAGCACTTTTATAGCACTTTCACATCTTTTTTTATTCCCAATTCATTATATTTGCATAAACCACAACTACTACTTTCTGTACAAATGTCTCAATTTTGTTGTTAAGGAAAGTTGTGAACTATTCCTTAAAGGAGTATTCATGATCACACCACCAAACTATTCTCCCCCATCTGTGCTACTTTTTTCCTCTCAATAATACTAGTTCTTTCTCTGTTGTGTGGCTGCAGCTGTCTCGTTGTTGGGGAATTTACATTTAGCTTTACATCAACAGATTTGTCAAACATCTTCGGATGGAACACGTCCATTTCGCCTGCATTGTGAAGCTCTCTTTGAAAGCTTTTGGATGTCCTCTATTCACAGAGAAAATCAAAACAGCTATTTCAATGGCAGCATTTCCAGTGGTGGATGGGTTTTTGTGCTAACACACATAATGTCCTTAGCTATGTAATGGATTCCCACATAGTTGTGCCAAGATGTTGTTCCATTGTAATTTGCATCAATATACAGTAGTCTTGAATTGCTTTTATAGCCGGGACATGTAACAGCATGCTTCCTTGTAATATGCTGAATAAATCTCAATGTAAATGTATGATAATTCGAGGTAAAAGTTTGCATCAAATATAATCTCCAAAGAGAACAAATGAGGACAGATGGAGGGCTACGGAATCATTTTTTTCTTCAGGTGCAATTTTTTTCTGATATCTTTGTATTGATTTCAGCCATGGCTGAAATTGGAATGATGTATGTTACTGGGGACAAACAAACTAGAGGAAATACATGTGTACCTTAGATGACAAGCTATTTCAAGACATTTCAAAACATACCATCTTAAGAAAACAGGTGAACTGAAATGCGAACATCACTGTCAGAACTTTACTTCCACACATGAAAAGCCAGCTTGTTATTTTCTCTGTTTATTTGTAAAATAGAGCAAAAAAGACAATTATCTAGGTATCTCTGGCTGGTCTCTCGGCACAAATGTGAGTCTGGGTTTTGACAGTGATGGGATGTTGAAAGGGACAGCATCCCCACCGCTCAGAGACCACAGGCGTGCCAGGAAGCCTGGTATCCCCTGGGTGGATTCTGTGTGCCGAGTGCCATGAGCAGGAGAGACAAAAGCTGCTTGCTTTTCATGCTGAAGAGCCACACAGTGTTGAATCACAGGTGATTTAGGATCTACATTCTTAAAATTCTCTAACTGGTTCTGTCTCTAAGCACAAGCAATTTATAGTAAACACTATAACATGTAACAACAATGTGAATAGATTTGTTGTGTTCTGGTTCACTGAAGTTCAGTTCTAGCTCATGCCATTTTCTGATCCCATTATGTCTCCTCACTCTGCTAAACTTGTCAGCACATGTTTGAAAATGCATCAATTAAAAGAAAGAAAGAAAAATGCATTTCTCCAAAATGACCAGGGTGCACTTTGCTCAACAACAGAAGATGTATCTTACATATAGTACCTGAATTCAAAATAATCGTTCAAATATTTTGGGCTCAGTAAAATGTTTAATTTTAAATTTTAAAAGTCTCTTATGCTCAGAAGAGCTGCATTTATTTGATTACAAAAACAGTAAGAAGAATACTATTGTGAAATATTATTACCATTTAAAATAACTGTTGTTATTTTAAAATGTAATTTATTCCTGTGATGGTAAAGCTGAATTTTCAGCATCATTACTCCAGTCTTCACTGTCATATGATCCTTTAGAAATCATTCTAATATGCTGATTTGCTGCTTAAGAAACATTTCTCATTATTAACAATGTTAAAAACATTAAAACAATTGCTTCTTTGATGAATTGAATGTACAAAAAACATTTATTTGATACAAAAATATTTTGCGATCTTATAAATGTCTTTACTGTCACTTTATTAATGTGTCCTTGCCTTATACACACACACACACACACACACACACACACACACGTCTCTCTCTCTCTCTCTCTCTCTCTCTCTCTCTCTATATATATATATATATATACAGTATATACACTATTGTGCAAAAGCCTTAAGCCACTAGTATTTTCAACAAAACTACTGTTGAACATATATAACTTTATTATAACAACAACAAAAAATGGTTCCGTTAACTCAGTTATTTCTATTTTTGCTGTAGTGTGTCAGTAGGAATTATCATTTTACATTTCCAAACATTAATTGTTTGCATGCACAAGGAGTCTGACAACAGCCAGTGCTCCACACAGAGATCTGATCTCATCATCATCCAGTCTGTCTGGAATGACATGAAGAAACAGACAAATACTAAGACAGACTAAACGTTGTTTTTATTTAGTTAACAGAAGTTAATTGCTAAATAAAATCTATTTGTGAAATTATCTTTACAACATTTGCACACACAAGTGCCTAAATCTTTACAGTACTGTAGCTTTGTAGGTAGTTTTTTTTAAGTGTCTTGGAGATGTTACAATACACAAATACTAAAAAATTGTATTCTCCTGCTTGTTCATAGAGTAGATAATTAAGATGATGCAACACAGTTCTTGATGTTTTTTGCACTTTACTTAATCCTAGTTATTTCTTCTTTTTAAAAGAATTCTAAACAAGGAAAGGTTCTGTTGAAAAAGCTTAATGTAATTCTGTGATTTAAATGTACATAAAATATTTTTACGAATAAAAACAGATGAATTCATTAAAAGGCATTTTGTGAAAGTTCAATATGGGACATTATAATATTTTTGATATTTTATCCTAAGCCCCAAATTTCTGATCTCTTTTCATATGCGTTTACATAAATTAAGTTATAAGGACCATGATGACAACAAAAGGTGAGTATGAGCAGATTTATTTGTTAGTGTCTGATACTCACGGTAGATTTCCAGCACCACAGTGGCCTCCTGTGTATGTCCCTGTGCGTCGTTGGCCTGGCACCGGTAGATGCCAGCATCTTCTATTTTGGCATTATAGAGGGTGAGTCTGGAACGAACACCTTCATTGTGCAGGGCCACCCGCTGAGACGGGACCATCCGCTCCCCCTGCGGGTTATACCAGTCCAGACTCACAGGCTCCCCAATCACTAAACACACACAGAAAAAATGTAGAGAACAACTTGACAATAGTGATAGTATAGTATGTTCTAATCTAAAAGGAAACAAATGCTTTTATGGCCACGTTTCACTGCCATTCCATTTGGTGCTGCTAGTGGTGCAGAACTTCCCCTTTAAGGATATCTCTTAAGCCTCTGGTAGCAGCATACACTCTCTCTTTGTCTCTCAAACACACACACACACACACTGCGATAAACAAAACCCGTCATGTGCTTTGCCCCACAGAGAACGGCTGGCCAAGCACACACTTGGTACCAAGGTGCTTGGCGCTGTAAATCCTGCTCTGCTGGAAGGTCATAAAAAGCATCAGCATGGTGCAGCACTTCTTCGCTCAAAGCATCAATCAGCTACACAACGGGGGCCTTCGGCTGCACTACGGGGGAGCGTGAGTCTGTGGCTCCGGGCAGACGGGCAGGCCTGAGGATGCAACCGGCCCCGTGACGCAGCTCTGCCAAGGGAGAAACGCTGAGAGCGGGCAGGGAGTTATCAGTGAAGGAGCAGAGTCTGATCCGAGGGACGTGAGGGGTTCAAGGAGAGGATGAGATGGCATAATCTCAGCCCGCTCGGCAGACACTGGACCATGGAGGAGACTGAAGGGGTTAGGATGAGATGTTAGGGGTTGAAAGGCTCAGGGACAAAGCAAAGCTTAGACAAACTTAACTGGATCTCCTGTTTCACATTCATTTGTCTTTTAGTTTAGTTAAGTTTGGGGAAGTATTAGAGTTATTGTATGGCATAGTGGTTAAAGATCTGGGCTGACAGCCAAAAGATTGTAGGTTCAAACTTTGAGAGGGGAGAGAGATCCATGAGCTATCAACACTGTGCCCTTGAGCGAGACACTTAACCTACTTGTCCCAGTAATAAGAGCACTGTCAGTCACTGTTAGGGCTGCATGAAATTGTAAAACATTGACTGATATTTTGTTTTGCAGTATAAATTGTGATATAAAAAATACAGGAATTTTCACCAGATGACTTGAAAACCTATATTTGGAAAGAATTAGTAATTGTAACCCTTTGGGAAAAAAATACATTGATTTGGGTGGTTTTATTGCATCTGAATGAATGAATGGAAAAATAAATAAAAAAAAGCTGAAAAACTTGCACTTTTGCGAAAAAAAATATCATTCTAGAATGATTGGGCAAGAAGCCCATCTGCATAGAAAATTAAAATGACAGTATTTTTGGAAAGAATTAATCATTCTAGACTGATTAGGATGATTTTGTTGGTAACTGCAAATGCACATGGAAAAAAAAGCTGAAAAATTACTTTTTACTTTAATGCCTTTACAAAAAACCTGTCCTTTTCAGGGCTGAACGATTTGGGAAAAACTAAAAAATTTTTATAAATATGTTAACACTTAGGTTATACTCTTTCCATGACCCAACTCAAAGCTCTTTTAAACAGTGAACAGGGAGAAAAAAAAAACTTACTTGCATTTTCAAAGGCCAAATTTCCACTATTTTTGACTCATTCAATAAAACTAAAATAATATGATTACAAAAATAAAAAAGAAAATACGAAGATTTTTTTTTTTTGCAATAATACTGTAGCGTAAATGAACACAGTGCTGCATTTACTCTGAAATGGCAAGGTATATATATAATTAAATCACAATTTGCCTAATGCTTTAAGCCATTTCTCGATAACGGTTTTATTTCGATAAGCCATGCAGCACTGTCACTATAGATAAAATAATCTGAAATAATGACCACTTACTAGCAAAAACGTGCCTATATACTGTGACCCGGTTTTATTTAGTAGTTCAATATGTACTGAACATAGCTCTTTGCTCAAAATAGGCGGGCATTATATATAATAGGCTGGATTCAAGTGTAGGACAAGTCTTTTACAGTTATCCACCATTATGTGCCATATTCACTCTTCTGGAGCAAATAACTTCCAAAACATGTAGCACCCAAATTAATCTGTCCTACTGAATCCTAAAATAGAACTTTATAAATACATCAAACCAATACAGTTTCTCTTACACTCCCCTGCATATCCCAAAGCTATTTTTGAAGGTGAGCATGCTGGTTTGCCTCAGCTAGTTGACCTGAAGGTCTGCGAAGCATGTGTGCACCTTCCATATCACCAGATACATACCAGGTGTGCTAATCACCCGCAATCTGGCGGGCGTCCAGCAGGGGTCAGCATGCATCACCCTGTTTAAAGCACGCTGTCAGGCAGAGCCTGGACTCCTGGAGCTCACGCAGCAGAGCCCTGCAACCTGACTATAGCAGCTCAGCCATGTGGAAAAGAAAAACAACACCCAGCTTCACCACAAAACCTGCCCGACATAATCTAGCCCTGTGCACATGGATATCCATACACGTTTCCTCCAGTACACTGTCCAAGCACAAACTTGCCTGCAGTGTGCAATGAAAGACGGCCTAGGAGCTGCGGATTACAGACAACACTTGACTAGTTTAGAATGATAAGGAACTTTGAGCAAGGGAATTTTAGGTGTTCAGACTACAGACAAAGCTGGTGATTTATAGGAGGGGGATTCAAACTTTTTAATGTCAATGGCCCCCCACATTTAGATCACATATATATATTCTCACGTGTATAAGAAGCATTTATACTGTGCTAGAAAAATATTAATTGTGTGTGTGTACACCACCGTTAAAAGGTTTGGGGTGAAAAAAGCTCACCGAAGCTGCATTTATTTGATTAATAATACAATAAAAACAGTAATATTGTGAAATATGTGACCCTGGACCTCAAAACCAGTCATTAGGGTCAATTTTTTTAAATTGAGATTTATACATTATCTGAAAGCTTTCCATTGACGTATGGTTTGTCAGGATAGGACAATATTTAGCCGAGATACAACTATTTGAAAATCTGGATTCTGAGGGTGCAAAAAAAATCAAAATATTGAGAAAATTGCCTTTAAAGTTGCCCAAATGAAGTTCTTAGCAATGCATTTTACTAATCAAAAATTATGTTTTGATATATTTACGGTAGGAATTTTACAAAATATCTTCATGGAACATGATCTTTACTTAATATCCTAATGATTTTTGGCATAAAAGAACAATCTATAATTTTGACCCATACAATGTATTTTTGGCTATTGCTACAAATATACCCCAGCGACTTAAGACTGGTTTTGTGGTCCAGATCTATTTATCTATCTCCAAACTTTTTAATGGAATTTTTTTTTCTTCTTTTTTTTTTACTAGTTGTGAGGGAAATTTAGGTATCATTTGCTTTACTCTACTAAAGAGTGTTCTTTAAACTCTCTAAATGCCTTATCAGTATGCTTGAGTTGTTTTGATGTACTAAAAGCAGTCTGTGTCAAAGGTGCAAAAAAAGTGTGAGACAAGAAATGCTATTTTAGAGACCCTACACCCTAGCTTCTTAGAAATGCATCTAGGGGACATAGTCGGATACCTTAAAGTGACACATATGTTGAATATGCATTATGATTGGTTGAGATAACTAACACCAAACATTGTGATGTTGACAGCTCTTAAAAATACATTTGGTAAAATTCCCTCAAAACAACCTATCACCTGCCCCCTTGAAAGTCCCTAGACTCCAGTTTGAAAATCCCTGATCTATTTTTGTAAAGCAATCAACATGAAAACAGCTGTCAGTCCAAGACAAAATAATCAAACATACTATACACATGCAATCCCACGTTTTGCCCTGGTCATGAAGAAAGTCTTAGTCTTAGAATTCAATACTGCTTACAATGGGAGAAGTTATTTAAGCTGTTCAACCTAAATAAATGACTACTCAAGTCAGCACTACGTAAATTGTGTGCATTCATGCATCTATCTCATATACATCAGCGTCAGAGACGTGATGAGGTGGTGCTGCGAAAAAACTGACCTGTGCATGTGAAAAACTTGGACTCTCCGACGCTCAGCTCCACCTTTTTTAGCGAGATTGACACTTGGAGGACACCTGGAAAACAAAGAAAAAGAGACAGAGAAAGATGAGAGTGTAGCGTCTGGAACACTCCAACACACAATATATATTTTGTTAGCTAGATTTCACAAATACTTTGTAACACCCCAGGACGCTGAACAAGACCCTGGTTTCATGGTAACCCGATACATTTACAACCTTGTGGAATGCGAGCCGGCTCTCATTCTGCTTTCTCCAGAAACAAAGGGACACAAATGCACAGGAGAAATGGACTTTTCTACTAATTAATTCATAGGAAAACCTTCTTTGAATGAACACCCATTTTCTTCAGGCCAGTGTGTATATTATTGCTGTGTTGTATTTAATCTGTTGTATTATAGACTATTTTTATTCCTTTCTATGCTGAGTTAAACTTTAACCCTTTTCTATACCAACTGTATGTGTGTGTGTGTGTGTATGTGTTTGTTAGACCGGCTTAATGTGTTTTTGTAGTATGTTTGACTAGTTTAAGTGTTTATGTAGTTAATAAACCCTTACTTGTATCACACTTGACGTGTTCATTGTTTACTCATAACCGGAGTCAATAATCATGCAGATTTACGTTACAAACTTATAGAATTGTGCAGTAAGAAGGTTATTTCCTTTAACCAGGAAATTAACGTTCTTAGAATTGACAAGACGGTTGACCCTGAGTGGTCAGCTAAATATCTACAGTGGATCTAAAATATGAATAGTTAATTATAACTAGTTATGGTTAATTATTCATATTTTCCATGAGCTGATTCGCTACAAGAGAGAGATCGCAATCAGGAATTCAGCACACGAACCGCAGGTACAACAAGAGTGCCTGCCACAGAAATCACACCAAACCACAGGCGGCACAAAAAAACTGTCTTTGCAAGCTGGAGAGATGAGAGGGTACAGGGAGACTTCTATAAGCTCCCTCCCAATCACTTCAATCAGGCTAGCCAGCCTGGAACATCCAGCACCTAGAACAAAAAAAAGTGAGGAAAAGAAAAGGACACAAGACAGACAAAGCTTTGATCTGTCTTTCCTTTTATATATACTATACTATACTACTGGGGACAATGTAGGGAATACCAACACAACACACATCATATTTATTTATCATCATAAATGATTAAAATATGATCAAAATAGAAATCAATAACATTTTCATTAATATTAGTCTATCTTTACTAACAGTATTCAATTTAATATACACTCACAAACATTAAAGATTAATTATGAATCTAAAAGATTCATGAGTAATAATTAAAAATATAAAAAATTCATTTATAATTGGACTTTTCTTTAATAAGTTAACACTTCATTGATGCTGGCTTCAGAGACTTTTTACTTGTACTTTTTCTATTATTTGGTAACAATTTGTATTCATTTTGAAGTTATTATTCATGTCTTTCTGAATAAGGCATTCCACATTTGTCTTCCCTATAGTGACCGCGGGTGTCACACATCCACTTTTATTGTACTGTATAAGCAGCTTGAGCATGCTGAATAAGTCCTATTGTGTTGTGTGCATTAATGCATTAAAGAAATACGTTCATGCGAGTTTGGAACAACATGAGGTTGAGTTATTGGGGTGATTTGTTCCTTTAAAACTGCTCAGTACCAGATGAAATCACCATGTTCTTCTACCCACAGAGCAAATCACACAGAGACGACAGTGGGAGGTCTGGGTTTCCTCGTTAAAAGTGGTCTGTGAATTTGTGGCTCAGGTAGAGGTGAGGGCAGTGGCCCGCATATGAATGAGAAAACGAATGTATGCAGGAGCTGGAGCATGAATGTGCGAGAAAGCATACGAACTCCTTGAGCCGGCTTTCTGTTTACCTGAGAATGACCAACTCGAGTTCTTTTTATGATGTTCGCACATCGGCATGCAAGAGTCACGAGAAAACTGGACACACACACACACTCGTGAAAGCACAAAGAAACACACACTGACGGAGCTCATGGGGGAAGCACTGGCATCTGGCGTAATGATTAATTACAACACAGTGAGGCTGGAGCTAGTCATCTGGATGGAGACTGAGTGTATGTGAGCTGCTGCCCATAGCAACCAGAATATAATTACTCCTCAAGACTACTTTGAAAAAGAAAAAAAAACAAGCCTTCTCATTACATTTTTTTTTTTCACTTATCATATTGTTCAAACAATATTACATATTTGATGTCACAAGCTAATGACACTCAATATAGTGTAGCAATGATTTGAAGATTGTATTACACTGTACGCTTTGAGTCGAGTACTTTACTACCTGCAATCAAAGCGTCTGTATCTCACATTCATAAAACATTGGTGAGGGAGGATGTTTCTTAAGCAGACTCGCACTCCTGGAACACATTTCCATGCGTTTGATTTTGATAAAGCAAAATTCACCTCCAGAAATTTCAGTCAAAGAAAATGTGTCACAGTATGCCAAAGAAAATGCATAATTCATGAACATAAACACTGATATTGTAAATTTTGCATACACATATGTAACAGATGTGTACAAATGAACCCCTAAAAAAAAAAAGGCCAATAAATAGCAGAGGTAGATTTTTTTTCCTGTTATTTTTGATTGAAGTTTTGAAGAAACATATTTAATAAATATACTAGAAAACTGGACACACACACACTCGTGAAAGCACAAAGAAACACACACTGACGGAGCTCATGGGGGAAGCACTGGCATCTGGTGTAATGATTAATTACAACACAGTGAGGCTGGAGCTAGTCATCTGGATGGAGACTGAGTGTATGTGAGCTGCTGCCCATAGCAACCAGAATATAATTACTCCTCAAGACTACTTTGAAAAAGAAAAAAAAACAAGCCTTCATTACATTTTTTTTTTCACTTATCATATTGTTCAAACAATATTACATATTTGATGTCACAAGCTAATGACACTCAATATAGTGTAGCAATGATTTGAAGATTGTATTACACTGTACGCTTTGAGTCGAGTACTTTACTACCTGCAATCAAAGCGTCTGTATCTCACATTCATAAAACATTGGTGAGGGAGGATGTTTCTTAAGCAGACTCGCACTCCTGGAACACATTTCCATGCGTTTGATTTTGATAAAGCAAAATTCACCTCCAGAAATTTCAGTCAAAGAAAATGTGTCACAGTATGCCAAAGAAAATGCATAATTCATGAACATAAACACTGATATTGTAAATTTTGCATACACATATGTAACAGATGTGTACAAATGAACCCCTAAAAAAAAAAAGGCCAATAAATAGCAGAGGTAGATTTTTTTTCCTGTTATTTTTGATTGAAGTTTTGAAGAAACATATTTAATAAATATACTGTTTACACTATTGTTAAAAAATAAGTTCAGGATTATTTATTTATTTATCTATCAGGATCTTGATAAAAAAATAATTTATTAATTTATTTTTACAATTTATTTTTGCAACTTTATTCAGCAAGTGCAAAAAAAAAGATAAAAGGAATTCTGCTACAATTGCTACTGTTATTTTAAATTAATAACATTTAAATTAAAATGTTTTGAGTAAATTTAAGTAAATGTTGGCATAAAAATAATAAATATAAGTAAATAAAAATAGATAGATATAGAATAAAAATAATAAATACAAATAAAAAGTAAAAGTTATTTAATTTGTAATAAAATAGTATTACAGTGTTTTACTGTTTTTCTTTCTTTTTTTTAATCAAATTAAAATGCAGCCTTAAATGTTAAATGGTGAGCATTAAAACTTCATTCAAACACATGAAATACATACATATATACATATATATACACATTTTTTTTTAACAATTAACAGTAACAAATATATTCTCTCTCTATATTCTAAACTCTTACCTGCCTGTTTTATCTCATGCTGAGATCTCCTAGTTTGAGTTCTGATAGCATGTGAGGTTATCTTTGACAACTTCCCTCACAGCCAGAACTGGAACTAAATGTAATTAAAGCAATTAATTACTTCACACTCACACGAGAGTCGGTTCTCTGATTAAACCTAACTGTCTGTCAGCCAAATAATCTAATTAAACTGATATGAATCAACAGTCATTGGAGCAAAAAGAGAGAACACCAGTTTTTTTCACCAATTTACGAGCAGAGATAATGAAAAGAGAAACAAAAAAGACATTATTGACAAATCAGACCCCCGATAGAGAAGATCCAAACTTTTTGGCAATAAGCACATCTATTTCAAGCTGTGGAACACAACAAGTGTGTTGTGATGGTAGAGTGCAGCTCTGTGAAACGGAAAACAGAAGAGCGCGGGAGTTGTAGAGATGAGGTGCCAAAGCAATTAGATGTGCAAATGGAGAGAGCCAGCCACAAATGTGCAGCCTGTGCCAAAATAATTAAGTAATGCCCCAAAATATCAATACCTGCCAAAAAAACAAAAACAAAAATTACTGAGACGCAGCAGCAACAAACTTCTGAAATGATAACTAAAAGCCAGAATGCAAAGCGCATGGGTCCACCTAATAATATTTATTCACGCGGGACCCCAGACCAATAAAAACAGTCTGAAATCAATGGATGCCTGAGGTGCAGACATAACTCTCTGCTTTACTGTAATTCTGTGGTGTGTTTGTCATTCCAAACAAAACGCCTGCATAGAAAAATGAGTTAGCACTAATTAAGCAGCCAGCAGTGCAGAGCCCCAAGGCTGAGCGGCTACACATCAGTCATTTTACAGTCCACTATGGAGCGCTATTCTTCCTCACTGCTACTGATATCATTCAGATCTTTAGAATGAATCGGTCCAACTGAATCACATGTAAGACTGTCTGCACCTGATGCTGATTAGCTAATATACCACAAGACAGACCCACACCCTTCTCAGTGATTATCATGAAGATGGTGGGGACCTCACACAATTTTTTATAAAAAATAGATGAATAAATAAAATGCAAAAAAAAAAAATTTAATAAAATATTTTTAAAAATATTTTATTAAATTTTTTTTTTTTGCATTTTATTTATTCATCTATTTTTTATAAAAAATAGATGAATAAATAAAATGCAAAAAAAAAAAATTTAAT